ACCAAAAAATATTATGTGCAACAATGCGAACTAATTAGACACAGATTAAATATAAATTCATGATATTAAAATAATATTCAACTAAATGTTATCCCAATATCACTTCAAAACTTATCCCACACCTAATATATTATATGCTCTTTTTAATGGTCTCCTTTGTCTCGACGCATGTCAAATACGATCTCGTGGCCTTCTTGCCTTCTAACTAGTCGTTGCCCACCGCCTTCCCTTCTCCACTCCATCTCATCTCCTTGTTTCTCCTCTGCCAAATCCACTCGCCTCTTCCTACATCTCTCTCTCTTTCGCCAATTTTCATGGCCACATCAAAGGGGAATGATGGCATTGTTATCAGCTTCGGCGAGATGCTCATTGATTTCGTCCCCACAGTCTCTGGCGTTTCCCTAGCGGAGGCGCCGGAGTTCGTCAAAGCCCCTGGAGGCGCTCCAGCGAATGTTTCCATTGCCGTTTCACGACTCGGAGGCTCCTCAGCCTTTATCGGGAAGCTTGGCGACGACGACTTCGGCCGGATGCTCAGTGGAATCCTGCGGGATAACGACGTCTCCGTGGCTGGCGTTCGCTTCGACGGGTTCGCACGCACATCACTTTCTTTTGTCACTCTCCGCGCCGACGGTGAGCGCGAGTTCATGTTCTATCGACATCCTAGTGCTGACATGCTCCTCTCCCCTGCTGAGCTTGATCTAGAGCTCATCCGAAGAGTAACTATCTACTTATATTGTAAAATTTGGGATTAAATGCTAATTTCAGTTTTGTTTTCTTCTCGATTGAATGATTTCTTTCTTATTTGTTGAATTTAGTTTCGGGTATTAAGTTTGAATTCGATCGTATTGGGCGATTTGGATTGTGATTTCTCTGTTTATTATGGTTTTCCACTGCTTGTATCATCTTAGGACACCATACAGCTTCGGAACCTTTTATGCATGCTCGGTTTTGTTGTCTCCTTTTTGGTTTCTTAAGCTTCGTAGATGCTTTTCATCTACTAAAACATCATTTTTGTTTTGTTCAAAATGATGAAATTTCCTTTTTGCATAATATGCAATATTATTGTGCTTCAAATAGTATATATATATTGTTGAATCCAAATATGTCTAGGAGGCCTGCCTAAGGAATATAGCATTGGAAGGGTGGTAGAGAGAGAGAGGAGAGCAATAGCACAGTAACGAACGGTAATTTTGCGTAACCTTTATTCATAAAATGGATCCCTACTTATAAGAATGGGTCATTGTATATTTACATGTTGTACCTCAAAAGTAAGTAGGTAGGGCGGGGGTATCCCAGTCCGTACATGAGACCCGTGGGTGTGGTAGAGTGGTC